GATGTCTGTAAATTGGTCTCGTCGCCGCGGTAGCTCAGCGAGCCATGCCGTTATCGATATATCGATGTAATAGAGCCGCTAAAGAGCCACTAGACGGAGACGTGCTAAGATCGACGCAACTGGTGTCTTTGTATTCACGATTATTCGAGCCGGTCTCGAGCGAACCGAACGTATTCCTTGTATCGGTGACACCCCGCCGCTCTTTCGTCACCCCTTGTGCTTATACTTCAGGTCCTCTGTCGAACGCCAGCTGTGGGTAGGGTGCTGGTATTCTCCGGCGGCTCGAGTGCTCAGACATCAACCACTCGATGCCCCGTTCACGAGAATTGGGACACTTGTTTTTTTTTAAACAGGCCAGGGTCTGGGACTAGTCCGAGGAGAAAGAGTTTTCTAGGAGTAGCGACAATCTAAAATAGTGAAAGACATTAGTCATCACAACGAAGCAGATGGCAATTGCTAATCTGAAGGAGGAGTAGGAAAAAATTGTCGAAGACCTGTAGAAAGGAGGCCACACATAAATGGTGGAGGCAAGTTTGAAGACAACAGAGGGATGAAGCTGAAGGAAAAAGGCAAAAGGACAGAATAGAGAGCAGGACGTTTGACATAAAGGGGATTACGAGAATTGGACCATTTGCGGAAAATTAACTTTTATTCTATATAAAATATCGTGAATTTTGAAACCAGTGGAATTTTTGTTATGTAGTTAATAGTATTTTTGTGTAGATATTTGACACTCATATTACACCACCGTTAGCAGAACTACAATTAAGCTACTGAGAACGATAGCCCCGACAAGGGCGCGAAAATTCTGTGTTTTCTTTAATTCATTTAACTTTGTATTAATTCCTATATTGCCCGATTACTGCGTTTTTTAATTTTTGTCTTTACTTTTGTTTCAGTTTCCACTGACAAAATGTATTGTCTAAGTAATTTACTTTTATTTTGTAGTTGCTTGACTGGTTACGGTAGGCAAAGCCACAGTACGGTTAGTGTTAACAGTGAAACTATCAGTCATGTCGGAATGGGCCATTTCTGGATTCTTGTCTTATAATTGCGATTCTTGTTTTATAATTTCTGGATTCTTGTTTTGTAAAGCGAACTATGCCCGATATAATACTCTCACCGTTCACGTGGTATAAAATAAAAATCACTAAAATGTAAAATTATAAATTACAAATAAAAATAAAAGAATTAAAATGATAATTACAAATAAAAATAAAAGAATTAAAATGATAATTACAAATAAAAATAAAAGAATTAGAATGATAATTACAAATAAAAGTAAAAGAATTAAAATGATAATTACAAATAAAAATAAAAGAATTAAAATGGTAATTACAAATAAAAATAAAAGAATTAAAATGATTATTATTAAAATAATATATGTAAAATAAATATCTACTATTGTATTAAATTTGTCAAAAATTGGAAAACAAGTCGTAAACTTTCAAAGATACTTTTTTTTAAGGAGATTTATATGTTAAAATTTTGATTTATATTTTTACAAGCAGCTTGACACTTGATGAACTTACAAAGTTATTTGCAATGTTTGCAGAAGATAGAATGATAATTATTGCATAATATAATTTTATAATTAATAATACTTTTCTCTTTGCGAAATGTGAAATGAAATACTTATAAGTACAGTTATAAATTTCTGAAAAATAATTTGTAATATATGATAACCGAGATACTCACATATTCATAAACAATTTCGAACATAGTTATGAGGTTTATCCTCGACTGTAGACGATGGTAACGTATATGAAAGTTCGTAACTAACCCTGTATGTGTATGAATGTTGTGGTTTTCTGAATTGTTCCACGTTGGTTCCCGTTGGTATTTCATATTCTATTATCTGTTGTGGTTGTCATTCCTCTTTCTAGTATTACCTTATGCACTGGTCTTCTCGTAGATGTTTAATATTGGCATTGATATTCCTCCAAAATGAACTACCCTACGTAATGTTCGTGTTAACAGTTTTACGAGTATTGTGACATATAGTTTCGAAGTTTTCGTATTAACAAATCTACCAGCATTGTGCAAGTTTCAACGTGTTATCTGCACTTGCATTAAACCTTTGAAAACACCCACATTTTACTACTCGTAATTAACATAAACGCAAGATTATGTGCACTTAATATTTCCCTATATTCGTGGACATTAAGTAAGTTCTAAGTGTTTCGAAGGTTTAATTTCCTCGTCCGTATGTTACTTCGTGGTGTCGATGTTCATCTACTCGTAGCTGATGTTCTCTAATAGGATTTCAGCCAGAACACGATCTCGAGGGTAAAGTACGAAGAAAGAAGAATGCACGTAACTAGACTGTCCTACTCGACGACAATTTTAAATCTCAATCACTCAATCTAAATCTGAAGATATCGAGCAAGCTTTCTGTAGAAAACACTTCTTTAAAAAGAAATAGGAAACGTAACATGAATAAATTGTATAACAGATTTTGTGAAAACGACAATATAACGCTCGTAGTACTCTTAATTTTCTCTTGTATACATCACTATGATACTATCAATTATTTATAAAAATTAACTAAATCAAAGAAGTGCATTTTCATTCATCTACATGCAAACAATAATTGAATCGAGGTGAACTATTTAAATAGGTAATTTATTATATACTTCATAATTTACTAATCTTATTCCTCGAAGTACAGTGTTTTCTAAATCACAATATAAAAGGAAATCAATCTACGTAAAAAGATAAGTCAAAAACGTGCAATCCATTTTTTTTCTAAAAATTTCATTTCCTTTATAACTCAGCAAAACATGATTATCTCGAAAACGGCGTGTCACATGAAAAAAGTTTGTTCTATGTTTTCAGTTCGTTTATTCATGTAAAATCACTGCTTACTGTTATATCACGGTCTTAGAAACGTCATGTGCAATATAGCAAGAATCATAAGTTATAATGACATTAATTATTCGAGAAATCTGAAAAATTTGTATTTTGATGACGACAACTGGAGAAATTGGACGTCATCTAAAAAGTGTGACACGGTATGTCAACTACATCAGTGCTAGAGCTTTCCGTCGTAGAAGTTTCGGGGTGAAAAGGGGGCAGGGGTGGGCAAGTTAGGGCAAGGATTTCGCAGGCTGCCTCGGGGACCAGGGTCTAGAACTTCCCCTACACTTTTCTTGTTTTCGAGAATCTCTAGGAAGTCAGCGTGCATTTTTCTTCCCTCGTCAACTTTGCCTCCCTGTCTCGCGCGTCACTTCCAAGCGATTTACGCGTTCAATTCCCGAGGTCGTGGCTCTTCCTCTGCGTGTACGTTTCTGTTGGCTACGTCCTCTGTTCTCGTCTTTGACAAATGATGCACGTCGAAAAATCATTTTTATCTTGTCTAGAAACAATTACAGACTTTCAAACTACTCACAACGTCGGAAAAACATTGCCTTAGAACTGTCAGCTTGTCTTGAAACTGATTTCGGTTGTGATATATATTTTGAAAAACAAATGTCAATTAGAAAATGTGATATGATTTTGATTCACGTGTTCATATTCCTTGAAACAAATTAACAGAATATAATTAAGATTATATGTCTCACACATTATTGACCAGTTTCACTTAACTTGAGTTCTATAAATACTGGCGTGTATAACAGAAACAAAATAACAAAAAATAGCATGATCTTATGATAAAAATGTAATTGTCCACTCAATTACGTGATCAATTTAACATTAACTGGAAATTATCTTTGTTAATTGACTCTAGTTAGTCTAATTGAGTGTAACTTTCACAATGATATTGCAAGAAATTCATTAATTTCTATTGTGAGTTTCACGAAATCTTATTAATGTGATTACATAGTGGTCGAAGTCATTATTATCGCGCTTTCAAGCAACGAAATTACACGACGTGTCACTAATTTACACGCCCCAAGTTTTCAGTGTCTTGTGATAGTCACTTGCCTCTTGTACGGCGATGTTCACACACGAGTTTCTTAAATTCGATGTGAAGCGAATTGTATCTTCTCCACGTGACATTCTAAGCGATCAAAGATTCCAAGTACAAGTGCTTCCCTGATCTGTAGTGGTGCACTCGACGTACCCGGTTTTTACGAATAGGTACTTAGTTACTTAGATAGCACTCTGCTACCCAGATAATACACGGGTGAATGGTTAATCCAATCATAGTTTATATATAGTGAAATCGTGGTGTAACCTAAATGGTTCTTCGCGTGAAATTCAGGTCAGAATACAAAATGAAGTTTATTCTTACAGAAATAATGTTCAATTCGTTCAATTAATATTCATTGGATTTATGCTTTAACTGTATAAATGATTCATTGTCGTCGTCAAATCAATGCCAATTTCATGTAAACAGTTTGATTTGAAGGAAATAATTCAAATATTATTCTATAATTGTAAATGGTACAACTATTCAACCAATGACAAGAAGAATATATAAATTACATTCAATAAAATAGAAATAATAGTATTAATGAAATTAAAGTTTTCTTTGCTTCTAAAAGTACTTTGGCAAGTACAAAATATATTTTAATTTCAAAATATTATTTTTTTTCCAATTATTAATATTGCCACAGCCGTGTATTATCAAAGTATCTACGTACCAAAAGCATATCTGAACTGTGGGCTTTATGCATTTCTGACACACAATCGTACAGAATATAAAGAAATAAATAACACAATATTTAATTATTTTCTTAACATATCCTTAAGATAATCTTAACACAAAATATTCATAAAATATTCAAAACAAAAAAAGCAATAACTTAATAGAATAACCCAAAAAATTTACATTCGCATAAAAATCCACAGCGTAAGATACCAACGAACCAGACCGTCAAAAGTCTCCACGACGATCAATATGACACGAAATTCAATTTTTCGACGTGCACCGACCTCTGTTCTGTCATGATAGTGAAGTGAACACGGTGTCTTCGTCTTTGTCTCCCCTTCAATCTCGTCGTTAACGAATCTCTTTTCAAGCATCGCGTCCATGAACGATCCGTTGAGTCCAGGTACGAGCAACTGCTCATGGACGTCCTGTAGAGAGGGTTGCACCAAGGAGCTGTACGATTGCACGCAAATACGCGTCAACTACAAGCTACCGACTAACGTGTCAGAGGATAGCGACGGACAGGGTGAGGGAGGTGGAGCGGTAGGAGGTGTCGAGGATGACGAAGACAGCACGACGATGGGGAAACCGCGTTACGAGCGCTCCCTAAGGGAGTATGATTACGTGGAGGACCTCGACGACGACTTCGCCGAGGACGACGAAACTGGACTGCCGAAACCCTTCCCTACAGGTATACGACGACGTCCGGAGGTTCCTCTGTCTATCGCCACGTAACGAAAACCTGATCGAATCTATTTATCGTAGGAAATAGTTCTCGCCACCACTGTTCAACGATTCTGCTGTTTGGTTTAGATACTTTAGATTTAGAGAAACTGATTAGGCTAGCTCGTGATTAGACTGCAGATTTTAGTGGAGATTTTTATTTTATAATAATTACTAGTTAGTTAAACTAATTTTTATTGATTGGGATACTTCGTTTTGGCTATAACTTTGTTCATAGGAGCCCATAGAATTATTTTACATCATAAGCGACTGGATAGTGTTGTCTTTGTTAAAGAGTAGTGTGTTTTTAAGTGAAATTTTGTAAACAATGTTTGCCTTATTGATTTATGAGGCGATAAGCGTATAAAAATCTGCAGTGTAGTTATGAATATTCTAGCTACTAGCAGTAGGCTTCACTTGGAGAGATCTGAACACTTCGGTTGACCTATATTCCTCTTTACTGTGACTAGAGTCCTTAGGTCATTTTAGTTTGAGAACCTGAAGGTCTACGTTGCATGTTAATTAATTGTTCGCTATAAAGTTTGATTGTTGATGAAGTAAATATAATGAACAAGTTAACTCAGGATTATTTTGGATTTCCATATTGGCGATGTTGTATCAAGTACCTGTGCAATTAATTAAAATTCTAATGAAGAAGTCAAGTTTTTGGAATTCCCCATATATGTACCATAAAAAGTAAACTGTTCAAACTCTACATATAGTCGGCATACCACATGTATTTGTAATCGAAAGACATCAAGGGCTTCAGACGTGTTCACTTCCTTTCGAAGTGAGTAGCAGTTCTAAGCTTTTCATACCAAATATTTCCTTTCTAACTGTCTTATCAGATAATTGTTTCTTTTATCACAGCAAAGTTACGTGAAATTCAATTAATATCCTTTAAAACGTCTAATGAAAAATTATATACTAAGGAGGGTTTATTCAACGTGTCCAACAGGTTTCCATTAAAACTTTCGTCAAACCTTTATTACCTTACATTTCACTACTACTTTTACACACAAAGCCCAATATTTATACTGAAGCCTGTAGCACAAACTTCCCGGCAAGAGATTCTACATAACTTTTATCCATCAACCAACCTACTCTTCCTACACAAATACTTTCTGTAATAAAAAATATGGCACACATAACCTCAAAATCCAAACTCAAATCATTAAACAATGAAACGAATATCACTCGTTTTATTTCGCCAGCATCAAAGAATAAAACATTCAGAGTAACAATTTCACAGAAGCTAAAGTGACAAGTAATGATCAAGCAGCCATTATGGCTGAAGTCGTCCAAGCCTGCGTGACACGTTTCCGCTAACGAAATAGGAAAATTCATCAAGTGTTCAAACTACCAAACTCAAATCACCTGCTCGAAACTTCTCTGTCTCTCTGCTCTTTCCTTCCTTCCTCCCTTTCTGTCCCTGTCTCACTCTCTCACTCTCTCTTTCTCTCTCTCTCTCTCTCTCTCTCCCTCTCTCTTTCTCTTTCATTCTCGCGCAAGCCAGAAACACCTCTAACAACGTCCACTTTCTCCCATATGGAAATCTGTTCGCGGACACGGGCCGGACGATAACGAGGCGAAGTTCGCAGGTCTCATGGGCAACGACTCCGAGTGGTATTTCACCGGGGCCAAGCTGTTCCCCAACGTAAAAGGCTGTGGATACCCTCCAATGCTGAATTGCAGTATTTTCTACCGTCAGTACGCCAACATAGGGCAGAACTTTAGCTGTTACTACTCGAAAGTGGACCCCGGGATAGTCATCAGCGACCTCGACATGTGGCAGGTCTCGACGATTTTCTATGTCATCTTTGTCTCCGGCCTACTGTTTTTGCATTCAGAGGCTGTGCGTGGCCCCGGCAGCCCCGACTCTGTGCCTATGACGAGGCCACGCACTACGCGTGTAACTCGGTTTACTTTATTTTGCGTTTCACGTTTGCTTCGTTACGCTTCGTCAGGAGGTGTACACCAATCCTCTTTCCTACCTTGATACGTTTGCGTCATTAGCAAGTATCTATACGTTCGATTTATTTGGTGATTATCAATGGAACGCATATATACGCTATTAGTAGATACCGTGAGCACAAACGTGTTAGTATTAAGATTATTGTCACATTAGTATATTACCATACCAACTTGTTACTGCATCATCGTACCATCGTGTTTTGCATCATTGCGTCGTTGTAATATCACCATATTGTTATAATATTCTATCATCATGCTATCGTATTATTATCATTTTTATTATCCAGTAATCTCCGAACTGTTGTTCCCTTTCCCTGAATTATTCATTGATAGAGGTAGTAAAAAATTATGGTTGTATGGACATATCGATCAATTCGATCTACTGGCAAAACGCTTTTATTGATTGTATCATTTTCTTTATGACAGATAAGTCAGTTTACCATATTCTGTGAAACATAATTCAGGACACCTTACGAAGCTGAAGTGAAGATAGTTAAAATAAAATCCATAATTTCGATTTTTTCATTGACAATATACGAATCAATGTTTAAACTACTATATTATAATTAAGCAATTACCAAGGTCCATGAAACAACTCAAGATCTATAAACAAAGACAAAGAACAATAAAACACTGCTACTATAATCAAAAATAGAACAAAATAGCAACAGAGCAACTATTGAAGCGAAGAAATACCGAACTGAATCATTTCCAGCATCCTTTCAAGAAGCATAAATATTAAAAGCAATGCCAAACTTTCAAGCGATGGATCCGCACATATCAAAATACAGCCGCAAGCCAGAAAGTCGCACAAAAACCGTTATAAACGGCCGACACTTAACCGTTGAACGCGAGAAATCGACGGGGAGCGTATCGAACGGCGAGCCGTTGGAAAGCACGAAGATTACAGAGGGGAGGGAAACAAACGGTGGGAGGTGGAATCAGCTTTACGGCGATCAACAGGGATAAGAATCGAATCTCTCTGCGCTGACGTGTCCTTTGCTTTCGAGCGTAACCGGGTTACCGTGTTCCAGACATCGCCGATTTACGCCCATAGATCGTACGTACGTAGTGCCAGTCACGCGAAAGTGGTCTTTACATGTGTGTCTTCTGTGCGAGTTTATTGTCGGGCAGGAACGTCAGCCCGCGAATCGATACTGCAGGTACCTATTGAGGGCATAGAGGTGCATTATGCAACCAAAACCGTGTCTCCCCGGCCCGGTAAACGGTTAAGTACGTAACAGTTGCTCATTATTCACCGCGATCCGTATCTGCTTTAATTGGGACACAAAGACTCCCCAGCCGCGGGAATCAAGTAATTGACGGCGAATTGTGTTCGCCATCTTGAATGCAGGAGAAAAGGACACCTCGATGCAGGTGTATTGATACCGGGCACTCCACTTTCCCAAACATGTTACTCGGAACCTCCAGCTGAATGAAGGAGGATGAGGCTGAACAATGAATTCGTGTACACTGTTTCGAAGGAAGTTCTCGTTGAATTTTAAATTCGATGGAATATTTGCGGAGTGCCGAGGTGTGAGAATAATGGAAAAGTTGGGAAAGATGGAAGCGAAGAATTGAATTGGATATTTCCGTGAATGCTCGGAACGAAATGATGTGTTCGTATCGAGAGGACTTTCGACGTATATGATAATAAAATAATTCACGAGAGTAGTGTCTTATTGATTGAAAACGTTGATACATTAGTAATATCGATTTATCGATATTAATACGATATAATTTATAGTGTATGATAACGGATTTTGTGAATTCACTAATTACAGCTCAAAAATTATTCTTCCTTAATTTTAACACTAAAACTACCGAGCAATTAAATTGTCTTTCTGAAATTCCTCTATGGAGGCTCCAAGAATGCATCTATTGAGACTTTACTTGATTTACAATTCAGTTTGCATGTTGTTACATCAAATTCGTTAATAATTTCTCAAAGAAACATCTTTTTTAATAATTGGAGAAAGAAGAAATCAGGAATCGGTCATTTTGACCGGTTCGTTAGCTTTACTGTTAAAACTATAAAAACGTTCGAAAAAGTTACAAAACCCAATCATCACGAAACTCGTGTAACAAAGATCCACCAAATCCTCCGCAAATCCCCATATCTCTCTTAACCATCAACAAAACCGAAAATAATGGATCAATTCAATCGAATAAGCTTCTTAAATAGCAGAAAGACAAAGCGCATTCAAGGAAACCCGATTTCAATCCAATACGCGTACCGGCTAATCAGTTAAAAATAATAACAAAGGTAGCGAGGAAATCCGCCGACGAGATCAGCTTGAAATTGAATTTTATGTACGCGGCGCCATATTGGCCTGGCGCGATCGGTACGCATCCTCGGCAGCGCGCAGCGCGGCGAAATTAATCGCATAAATTGTGGCCCGGCACGACGCAAACATTGAAAACGAACGATGCGAGAAGAGGAGGACGACGGGTGGCGAGCTGGGAGAATGGAGAGACCGTGGCGGGTAGCATCTCGCCACGGAAAACGATTTTCCGGCGGCGTGGGTGCAAGGCGGCGTGGAATTCTGTTACGTTTACTACGGAAACGTAGCCGGGCTGCTGCGGCTCGGCGCATCGCGGCGTGACGAACAATGCATTTCAAGCGGGCTGTATAGCAGCCCGATGACAAAGACGGAAACCATCGTACCCGATGAAACTCGCGCCGCTGCCCGGAAGAAAAGAAAATTCCCTCGCTCCTTCGTCCCACTGCCGCGGAATTGAATCGAGCCCCAGGCCGCCGGGCCGGCCATTATAAAACGACGATAACATCGCGGATCCGCCGGAAATGCTTGCTACTCCACGGCGCTACGTGTGTCAATTTCCTAAATTAACGGCGCCCCCGAGATACACCCTGACGGTTGTATCTCGGGGGCGCTGGGACTGTATCGAACGAAATATCGAAGGAAAAACGAGCTTTCGTGCGGGTAGCTAGAGCTCACGATGAAATGCTACGGCAACGTCGATTCGTGATGGGAATGCAGAGAATGGTTATACAATCGTTACTCTCTGTTGTGGTAAAATAGAGTACGCTCTTGTTATACTTAATATTATTACTCCCTTGATTTACTGTGTTTCTGTGACTGCACTCGTAAAAAGGACTTTATGCAAACATTCGTTTTTATGGAGATATAAAGCCATTGTTTTATTTCCTTGGTAACTTTTCTAGTAAAAGTTACTTTATTCCGAATAAATTCTTTTAGCGAGAGGATAAACGTTATGTTTATTGTAAATGTACACAAGTTTATATATCCGTAGTAGCAAGAAGTATTTACTGTCGCTATTCTAGTATACTGCGAATAAACATCTAATTACTGATAAGCGAAAAGAGCTTCAGCTTCTAAGTACCACTGAATGCACCGAATAAATTCTTCCTACGGTTAAAATAATTTTACTTTTATTACTAATACAGTGAAATAGACATGTTCGTGTGATACGTGGACACAAAGAATTGCCAGTAGATCAATTTAAAAAAAAAAGAAGTAGTTAGTCATGCTTCGTTCACCTTTACCCGGACACGTCCAAAATGATCGATAACCTGCCACATTGAAACAGCCCTCGGTGTAATAAGTACTGGAGGTCGACGGTTCAGTAATCTCCGTGACGAATACGTGCGACGTGTTCCTCCCCAGGTGTACATGAATCTGGTGTACGCGATGGCGATTCCGATACCGTCTTTCATAATCTCGGTGATATACCTCACCATCGCCTACTTCAAGATCTACAACGAAGAGGAGGTGGTCCTCGTGGGCGGCGAGGAGGGCGAGGACGGCGGCGAGGGTGAGGGCAGGAACGCGACACCCGTGCCACTGACGAGCGTCGCCCTTACGCCCGGCAGCGAGGCTTTCAGGGATGACCTAACAAGCTTCGGGTATCAGCTGCAAATCGCCATGGTCGACGACATCAGCAGGGACAAGCTGGATGGGATACCCAACTCGTACTCCATTCAGGGGTAAGCGGTCACTTTCGACATCTTTCACAGCCACCCCATTTCCCTACGACCCCTTCTCGACCCTCTGTTTGGAGTTTCCTCCGTTTAAAAAAAAAACCGGAAGTTTGATGTCTTAAGCCGCATAAGCAATATTACTTTTGTACGTGGAACGTTGAGAACGTTCTCGGAAGATTTGAATGAAGATGGCAAATTCCATTGAATGCTTTATTTTTCGACGTATTTTATTTAACGCGTTTACACTGGTGTGACCTGCCGTGAACGTGTTAAGTATCTCAAATATTTTTCGTTAACTGTTTGAATGCCCCTTGTACGAATTATTTATGGTGTTTTAGTTGGAAATTTGTAGGATACTTTTTTAAAGTTGGATGTTATAGAAGGTTAAATGGATTTAAATTATTGGGTTCAAGGTTTGAACCTTTTGTAAGGTATGTCCTTTTGCTAGATATGAAGATGTAAGAGTTGTAAGATATTCTTTTTATTTTATCCATATTATATTCTAGTGATGTAGCGATCATTCGTATTTTTTACGTTTATCTGACAACATAAACTGAACGTTTTAGGACTCAAACATAACCGTTCTTCTTTAAGAAGTCTTAAAGATGACGTCAGGCGTAGTACCTACATACATGCTTCGTGCTCGTTTTTATATACAAAAATTTACTTATTACTGGACGATAGGTATTCATATAAATCCGAATACTTGAAGTGGTACAGCACCTCCTTGAATGTTGAAAAAAACTAATAATGATGCTCCGGGTGAACTTGCATTCCTTTCAATATTGGATGGCAGCAAATCGTATACTTATCGCACACCGGCTGAGCATGTGAGCTGGATTTTGCATATTGGATAGTGAAAACCAGGTGCTTCGCTCGTTACTAGTAATAACGTTACACCACGGCTAATGGCAAGCTGGGTGCAATCGAGTGAAAATAAGCGTAGTTAACGGGACACTTGGGTGGCTTTGAGTGGTGTTCACCTTGGCATACGGAAAACCACGTTATTTTACTACGGGGCTTCCGGTCAGTCTCTCGACAGAGAAGACGTGAATTTAAAAGAATCATTAACTCTAGCGAGGTAATCATTTTAGCGACAGTATTCTATTGTGCTCGAGCAATTTTCCCGGCAATTGACTTGTTTCGATGAAACGGGAACGATGTTAGTCACACCGAACAAGTGTAGGCTTATCGTGAATATCTTCAGACGTTTAGAAAACTCGTTGTCGGTGTTCCGTTAAAAATCAAACGTTCGCAATGTTTCTTTCGAGAGAAAACACTAATAACTATAACATATTTCGCGGATTTTTTAGTTTTCTTGCCAAGTTGCGTGCGTGGTAAATGCAATAATCGTAAGGTAGCGTTTCCAAATTTCTTCATTAAAATTTTTGACATTATAAATGGTGTCATCGCGAAGTTTGTAGAATTACAAAATGTAATTTGTAGTAAGTCCTGGAGTCCAAGATTTAACACATTCGCGATTGTATATAATTTCCCAAAGTCCACAGCTGAATATCGTTTACTCTTCAAGTGTATACGAATATAAAAAATATGCAATAGCACTATACTGTCAATATTTAACTACAGATTTTTAACACTGAAACTACCGAGCAGATAAACTGACATTTTGAAATTTCTCTATAGGAATTCTAAGAGCCTATCTATTATTAAGAAACTCTAATTGATTTACAATTAAGTCTGCATATTACCAAATAAATCCCTTTAATAATTTCTCAGAGAAACCCCCGTCATCTTTTTAATAATTTCAGAAAGAAGAAATTAGGAATGGGTCAGTTTGACCCGTCTGGTTTTGACGTCTTTCCCTA